CACTGAATAACCCCTAGAAGTTTGATCCCATAGTTCTGAAACACCCTGTATATATATATATATATACACATATACACATTTATACAAGGTGAGTCTGATAAAATGGTTAACACGTTTTTTTGAAAAACGGTTAAAGATAGAAGGAAATATTCATTATCAAAAATGTAGAATATTAAGGAAGATATACTACGGTGACTTTGAATAATCTTTAAATTTTTTTTCACTTTATCAATCAAAAAATTTTTTTAAATTATATATTCTTTACGTGCTGTAATATAAAAATTTCTAAAATTAAATATTTTTAATCCACTTAAAACTCCTCGATATCTTCTTGACCATCTTAAAGTAATAACGTCAAAAACAAGGAAAAATATACAAAAGTTTCGTGCTTGATCTCACACTTTGTGTGAAAATAAAAAGATATTTCTATATAAACGCATGTAGAATCAATAAAAGACAACAAAATACTGGATATTCTTCTTTAAACAACGAAATCCAGATTACACAATAGAATCTAAACATGTGTTTGTCACATAGATCACAGTGCCATTTTGACAGCTGCCGAATCATGCTTTGATTTTGCGCGTTTCTCGTACTAAATAACACTTCAAGAGAACTGTTTATATATTTTACAAGTATCTTTCAAACAAACCTCTTGATGTAAGCTAAACACTCTTCCTTCCACACAAAGTGCACGAAACTTTTAGCACGTTTCCAAACTACTTCAGATCTCTTTGTAACATACGGACGTGCGTCTGTTTGTGTGAACTTGCATACAGTTTTTTACACTTTATCTTTTTCTTTTTATCAATATTTTACCAATAATTTATATGTACAAACATATGTATCTATTTCATTATCAATAACTGCAAAAAATATTAGCAACGGCAACAGATTCATCATGCTTTTTACGACTAATAGTTTTCGCCATAACTGACGATGCTATTGTCAAACTGAATTTGACACTCAGACATCAGAAAACAAAAATCTTAATTATTTAATTTGAATACTGTATTTGCTTACGGTAACGAGAGCTCTCGATTCTGATGCATGACGCAGAATAATATCCAAAACTTGTATACTGGTTTGATCACGATTAGCTTCATCAAGACCAGGACGTAAATTTTTTATCCAAGAAAGATCAACAACAGCCACTTTTTTCAAAGTAATTTTGAATTTTTTTCTTTTTCTCGCTTCCTCCGTTTCCTTTTTCGTTTCCTGTACGTCTTCATCATCAAGTATAATATATTGTTCTATCTGTATATGTATACAACACAAAAACACTAGGTGAATAAAAAAACATGATAAACAAACTTTATATACAGATTGTGTTTATCCCGAAACAAATTAGTAGTTGATAGTTATATGATTATAAATCTCGATATATAGATAATATCTTTCTCTTCTACACTTAATATGTATTACTTACATATTCGCCAAAAGGAAGATCATATGCACTATATGCGTTTTTCTTTCCATCATATGCTGGATATCTATTGTTACAGCAACCTCTTCTAAAGATTTCAAAAAGCTTTCTACATATTGTCTTTGAAGCTGGACGATCAAAAGAAACATCATAGTGAACCGCAGTAGTCACAAAGTTCTCTTTAAATATGATTTCAAACATGTTAGTGACGACACGAATTGGTTTTCCCATTGTGCCAGCTTTATTAGGATTTTTCCTTGTTGGGATAATAAGCTGATATTCCTTTTGTGTAGAAGTTGACAGTTTTCCTTGTGAAGTAGTCTTTTCCGTTTGCAATGGCTCTTTCAAAGAAAGTCCAGACATCTGAAAAAATGAAGAAGTAAAATAAATACTTAATATGTAAACAAAACATAAGATAAAATGATATTCTTACTTTTGATTCGAGCAATTCTTGAGTTTGCAATGTTTGTTGCGGCTGCGATGATTGCGGTTTATTCCACGCTCCTTGCTGTTGATGTGGCAAACCTGTCGGTGCTTGCTGATGACCCCATGCTCCTTGCTGTTGCTGTGGCAAACTTGTCGGTGCTTGCTGATGACCCCACGCTCCTTGCTGTTGCTGTGGCAAACCTGCCGGTGCTTGCTGATGACCCCACGCTCCTTGCTGTTGCTGTGGCA